AATCCTTCTATTGTGTTAGATATATTATATGGAAATGCAATACATGCTAGCAAGTGCTGAGAAAGAGATCAATGCAAACCCATTACATGTTAGAAAATATATCTTTCCTTGTGTTAGCATGAATGTTGAGACAAATCTTTCACTAATCTAGTAAAAGAAGGTCATCTATCTTAGAACTAAAAAATTTATAAATCTTATTAGCTAAACCACTCACTTTTTAGATAATAAAATTAGTGCATTAGTTATTATTGTTTTTATAAAAAATAAAAATCTTGTTTTATAGTTCAGGTTTGTATTAAATTATAAAATAAAGATCATTAGATAAGAAGACTCCTAATATAATGCAGTCCAGTATAGTTTAGATTGTATAATATTTTTTTGATAAAAAAAATTATATATATATTTAAGAAAAAAAAATGAGGAATGAAAAATTTAGTACAAATTAAAATATGGAAGAAAGAAGGAAAATAAAAAAGGAAGCTACCTGAAAATATGTTTACTCCTAGTTAAAACAGGAGTTTATTAGTTAGCGTGCTACTTAAGTAAAACCCTCACTCCTTGTTTTCTTCGGACAAGAAGTTGCAAAACCTACTTACAATGGAACATGTACAGCGTGTTTCTATATTATTCATTCTCTTTCGGTAGCTGGACTGCAATGCAAATGCAATATCATTTGTAAAAACTTCAGAAATCTCTTCATTCGACAGCAATAATGGAGGTTCTTCCAGCCCTTGCCCACCCCACAAACACCGTAATATTCTTTCCACCTCCGCCGCCGATCTATTTCCGTTACGTACCTGTCTTCCCGCCGACCATAACTTCTTGCCGCCAAAACCCTATCCCTAAACGTACAAAAAGGCCCATCACCGTCAGATGGAACCCTCCACCCGTCGGTTGGGTGAAAGTTAATGTAGATGGGAGTTCCAAAGGAAACCCAGGAGAATCAGCCGCCTCAGCCATTTGCCGATCGAGCGAAGGGAAGTGGATATTCGGGTGTACTACCAGAATAGGTTTTACAAATAGTTTCATGGCTGAGGTTTGGGGTATCGCGCAGGGTCTGACCATGGCTTGGAATTCTGGTTTCAGGAAAGTAATCCTAGAATCCGATTGTTTGGCTGCGGTTAACAAAGTCCTAGGAGAAGATTACCAAGACCCCAAACATTTGTGCAGCCATTTGATTCTTGCTTGCAGGCAGCTACTAAAGAGGGATTGGATTTGCCAAGTGAGGCACGTCTACAGGGAAGCCAACTTCTGTGCAGATTTCTTGGCTTCCAATTTTCGGCATTTGCCAATGGGCAGAAACTGTTTGATCGCACCTCCACCTGAGCTGGAAAAATTGATGGAGGAAGATCTAGTTGGGCCGGGTACAACTAGGATCATAAAGTGTTAGTTTTGGTTTTTATTGAAACATCTACTGAAACAAAATGTAATTCTTAGTGTTAACACCTTAGTTCTACAAAATGCATATGCATGCGTTAATTTTTTGTTAAACTTTTGTTCTACATTGCAGATACGTATTCATTTTTTGATTAGTTTAAATGAAAAGGTTTGTTGATTTGTTAGAGTTAAATGAAAATGTTACTACTTTAATTTCTTTTATATTTTGAATGTATTTTTTTATTTGTGTAATAGCTTATAAACTAATTATAATTTAGATAAAACAAACCACTATAAAACTTGTATAAAAATGTTATTTCATAATTCATTTTACATTAGTAGCATTTTTTAAAATTATTAATATATAGATGACTTCTCAATATCAAGAACGTTCCTCCATTAATGATTATAAGAAATGTTATCTGCGTAAAGTGAATTACACTTTACTTTTTTAAACTTACAATTAATTAGTAACTTTTTAATCCAAAAAAAGAAAAGAAAAGAAAAGTCTCCAAATTGCCAATATCATGACCTAATGTACTAAAACACCTCCTACATCTTAACAAGGTTGGAACATAATAAAGGTCTTGCTAGTGCTACTCCTCATCTCATCAAGCTACAAATGACATTACTGAGAACAAATTTCAAGCCTGAATACAACAAACCTTACTAGAGAGCAAGGTAGAGCTTACAGATCAATAGGCACAATAGCTGTTACTAGAAATCTAGAAAGAGGGCTCCAACTTCCACTTAGCAAAAATGCCTCTTCCATTGCAGATGGGTTTAAGTGTTTAACACGGCTGGTTGAAGAATGAATGAGATAACAAGTAACAACACGATCTGAATTAATCCCGTGATAGCCCAATATCCTGATGGAGCTTCAGAATTGTCTATTGCAAAATACAAAGGAAATGGATTGGGTCAAGAAGGGGGAGGTCAGCTTCAGAGAATTCCTCTTTTGGTTCATCAATTGGGTGGGAATCGACAGTGATGAAGAAGAAATTACCACGGAATGAAGCTAAGGATTCCATAGAAAATTAAATACTCTTCACTAAGAGCGGCTCCATGCGTTTGTCTTGTGCATAAAATCCTTCTATTGTGTTAGATATATTATATGGAAATGCAATACATGCTAGCAAGTGCTGAGAAAGAGATCAATGCAAACCCATTACATGTTAGAA